CTTGGTTCTTGCTGTGATTCCCTGAATAAGCCCAGACAGGAGCTGGGGGGGAATCCTCGCTTTTTCTTTCATCTTCTCCCCTCTCAAGCCCAGCGGCTGCTTCGAGGCTGAGCCCTGCGGCTGCCCTTTCTCGGCGCCTCTGGAATCCCCCCCGTCGCGGGCTCTCTGCCTCGGCTCTGCTCAGACTCCGTGAGCAGCAGCGGCCTGTGTGCAGCGCCACCTTGTCGTGCCACCCCTCTGTTTCAAATACTCTACATCTCCGGCTTGCCTGCAGGGGTCAGGCAGCCAAGGAGTTCTGCACAGTGCTCCCGGCCTTGGTCAGGGCCGGGCTGGACAGGCTTCCTAAAAACAGCCAGGTAGCATCAAGCGCCATGTGACCAGTGCCCCTGGAGAGTTGCAAAAACAGAGCGGATGCTCCACGAGCGTTCATTCCACGATAGCTAAATAGGCAGTGCGGTGGTGGAAAGCCACGGACTCTTCCCCAAGGGACCAAGGTTCAAGTCCCCACTTTGCCGCCTTTGAGCCGAGTGACCCAGAAAAGGTTATCTACTCTTAACTTCAACATTCTTCAAAGCGTGACCAACACCTGCCTAGTGGGTTTGTTGCGAGGGTTAAATGAGATGTGCGTAAAGACCGTGGCCCGTGAGTGCCTGGTACACAGAAATAACCATGTGCTACTTATACTAAAAACAAACGAAGCGGCAGGAGGAAAAGCATGTATTTATTAGGCATCATCTGCACAGGGTACTTTACAAGGAAAACCGGGGAGTCGTGCTCTCTGACCAGCAGAACTTACAGCTCACACTGCACATGTCACCTCTCGTCAGTCAGTCAAGGGGCATTAACTCAGGGCTCATCATTCAACTGGAAGTCGCCATTTCAATAGGATTAAGAAATCTTTCCCCCGCGTCAAATAAGGATTTAAAATTTTTTAAATTGAGTTTGGTGTTTCCCGGGGAAAGAACAACACCTGTTAGAGCAGATCTACTTTGTGTAGAAATCAAATGGGAAGATTCTCAGATAGAATGTCAGCGTCTTAGACAGATCTTACACCTGTAGATGTGGTAGAGGAGATGGTACAGGTTGAGCCAATGCAGTGACTCAGATCATGAAGCTAGAGCTCTTGTTGAGAGCTCGAGGCATAAGTCACTGTCAAAGCCAGCCTCCTCTCTCTGCCCACACGGCCGTAGGTGTTTCAATCTTCCTCAAGTGTAGCGAGCTATGAAGTTAAAAAGGTTTGGGCGAGCATTTGGGAGCCTCTGAAGCTTATCTGAACTAACCAAGTCTCACAAAGCCATAAATCTCCAATGGCAGCCTCCAGGAGTGACACACTTCTTTGTGGAATGTCCCTGGGCTTGGCTGCAGTCCAGAAAAGATGTGTGAACTGGCAAGATAAAGCCAACATAAGCAATGCCCTTCCCTCCTGGGTATCTCTCAGTCTGACACTCGTGAGCATAACATTTTAGGATTTTGTTTGCCTGCTTAGAGCAGTGCTGCATTGAATGGTCATTAAGGAGCCAGGATGGCCCTTTGAATGTTGTTTTTTGTCTGTGGTTGGGTTTCTTATTGAATTGAAGAAGACAGTGTGCTCCAGGATATAATTGTAATTATTATAATTGTAATTATTGTCACCATTGTCACAAACCATGGACTCCTGGGTTTTCTATCCAATGTTTCTCAGTATGTCTAGAGACCACGGGCATCTAAACTGACCCGTTGCTTGCTTCTAAGGCTTGCTCTTGGGAACCTCCCCAGAAAACTGAATCATAATCTCTGAAGGTAGGGCCCAGGAATCTGGGTAATAACAATATTGTCATTTCAGCACTATTGTAAAGGACTAAAGACCGTAAACACATTCATCAGTTAAGACAAACTATGAAGTTCAGCTTCTTTTAGTTCAATGATACCTAGTGTTAGCTGTGTGGTCTTGGGAAACTTACTTCACTTCTCTGTGCCTCAGTTACCTCGCCTGTAAAGTGAGCAGAATGATATATTGTTCTAGGGGTAAGTTGAGTTGATTTGTATGAGGGGCTCAGAGCAGTCCATAGCTAACAAGTCTGGTATATAGTAAGCATGTGTAAGTTTCAATTATTATAACTTGGTATTTGTGTGGCAGTGGTGAAATCAGGGAGGCAGGAGACCTGGATTTTAGCCCCAGCCCTATACTTGGTGAACTTACAGAAGTCACTTCACTTCTCTGCCCTCAATTTCCTTCTCTGTAAAATGAGGGAGTTGACGAGACCATCTGTCACGCTCAGACATGTTAAGACTGAACACCTACCCTCCACCGTAAGCTGTAAGAACTCGAGCAAGCTTTCCGGCTTGGAGGTAGTTTTGAGCTTCTGATCCTTTGCAGATCTGTCAAGGCTCCTCCTTGATTCACACCAAGAACCCTGCCTCTGTCCCAGGTGCAGGGCTGTGGATCTGTTTACTCTTCTCCAAGACGAGATCCTCTGTCAGCCACCTCGGAGCTGCTACAAGCCAGCTTCCTGGTGGGGAGAGAGGGAAAGACAGTGTTTTTATTTTTCTGCCTCACTGTGCCTTCCTTCCTTTGGGATCCCATCTGGCAAAGGTCAAAAGAAATTTCCGCAGCTGCCGTGATGAGAAATGCCAGCCGACTGAAGGAGCAGGGCCCGTGTCGGGGTGGTGCCTGCCCCTGGAGGTCACAGCTGGAGTCTTGTCGCGCCTGAGCACCCCCCAGCTCGGTCACTCCCTCTCTGCCCCAGAGAGAGAGCACATTACAAACATCTTGACTCTTGTGGTTGGCAGATGGAACGAGGGACAGTGACTGAAGCATGACAGGAAATCTAAGAAATGGCAAAGAAGCAGGGTTAGTGGTTTTGCTTAAGATTTTGTGACAAATCAGAGTAGTACATCCATCCCTCTGGCTTTTTTGATATTCCTCCTGGGGAGGGGGTGTAGGGGGGTTACACCCCTACCTCTAAAGGAGGGACCTTCTATTCCCTCTCCCAGTGCAGGGGAGTGTTAAAAAGGCTGCTTCCCTCCTTTCTTTTATTTATTTTTTATTTTTTAATTACAGTTTGCATTCAACATTATCCTGTATTAGTGTCGGGTGTACAGCATAGTGGTTAGACAATCAAGTACTTTATAGCGTGGTCCCCCCTGATATGCCAAGTACCCTCCTGGCCCCGTACACAGTTAGTACAGGATTATTGACTATATTCTCTACGCCGTAATTTACATCTCTGTGACTGTTCTGTCACCACGGATCTGTACTTCGTAACCCACTTCCTTTCTTCCATTTACTTCTGCTTTCTTTGCCTCTTTATTTGCTCCACTCCGAAGGCAGAAGAGAGAGGATGTGAGTGACAGACTCAGGCATCCCAAGACTGTATTACTCCCGGGCAAAGCTGTGAGCCTTAAAGCGGCGTCCCAAGACACACCCTTCTTTTTTTTTTCTTTGCAAAGCAAGCAAGAATTTATTGACCGCAGCAAAAACACACTTAGGACAGTGAAACAAGGAAGAGCCTAGAAAAAGCAGCAGGGGAGCCCAGGCTGGGCTGCTTTGGCCCACTGAGAAGTCAGAGAAAAGGGGGCCTTGGGGACAGGTTCACGGGGTTAGCCCGGGACGACCCGCTGCTGCCCGTTGCTCCCCTGGTTGCAAGTCTCGTGGGACCCCTTAGATTTTAGGAGACACGTGCCTGTGGGGGAAGGAGAGGGGAAAGGGAATGGCACGGGCATGCAGCCCTGGGGGAGAGCGTGCCTCTTTTCTCTTCTATGTCCAGACCCAGCAAGTTTTCTTCTAGTTTTTGCTCCTGGTAATAAATATGTGAGTGTCAGGGTTAGTAAAGAAGGACTGGCGAACAGAGAGAAAAACACCTGGTTGTAAGTAACTGCACATCAATCAACAGTGTTTGACCGTGAGGTTCACAGTGCACATCCTGCGCAATTTTTCCAAATGACTGGATTAGTGATCGCTTCCACTGTCCACCAAAATCAATGAGGTAGAACGCATCCCACCTTGAATGAAAAGGGGGCCCTCATCGCTCCTATCAAAGCTACTTTGCATGGTTTGTCATTTCAGCCAGAAGGGGACAGACCTTTCGCTGACTTTATTCCGCAGCCTGGGCAACTGCACCTCGCCTTAGAAGCAAGTTCAGTGAACATCCCGTCGAATCCTCTGCAACATTCTCTTTTCGACTTTTTCTATTACCTCTTAGGCATGTAGTCCTGTAGTTTCTATTTGAACATTTCCAGCAATAAAACACTGACTCTTTCACAGATTATTTTGTTTTTAGACAGGTGCAACTATTGGTGTTGCCTGGGAGGCCAGAATTTACCTTTAACATTGTTAGAGGGAGCCCTCTGGTTATAAGTAAACATCCTGTGTGTGATGGGCGCCTGATATTTACCAGTGTGACCGACCTGTCACCGTTCCCACCCATTTCAAATATGAATACAGTTACAGATCTCACATTTTTGCCTTTTACATGTTTTTCTTAACATTCCTCTTTTGCCCTCAGGGGGAAAAAAGGAAAAAAAAAAAACCGAAAAAAACACTGTGATTAATATGATCCCATTCATATCATTATACGTAAGTTGTCATTATAGAAACTATAGACATGGACCCAGGCGTCTGGTTCCAGCTGTGCACCAGGAAGGCCATCTGCTCTGGGGAAAGAGCCCTGGAATCGAGGTCAGAACACCTGCCTTCCAATTCCAGGTCTAGTTCTCTAGATAGTCCCTTTGCCAAGTCACTTATCTCCTTTTTGGTCTTCCTGGACTTAGCTGAAAAATATGCAAGTTAGAAGTCACTGCTGCGTCACAGGATGCTTGGAGATGGTGGCAAAAGGCTACATAAAGTCTATAGAAACTAAAGGAATCTTACATCCCACATGCCGCAGACCTAGACTGCGGGGCCTTTGTTCCAGACCAAGCACGTTTTATCGGCTCTTTCTTGTAAAGTTCGTACTGCCTTCAGCCACTGCAGATGCATTCTTAATTTAAAAAGCAAAGCAAAACCTTCTTTTTTCTTGCAGTGCATAGTATGGGACTGGGACTCCAATGGCAAACATGATTTCATTGGAGAATTCACCTCGACATTCAAGGAGATGAGAGGAGCAATCGAAGGGAAGCAGGTACGTGGTGAACCACTCGTGGTACTTTTCCAGACACTTCTCTCATGATACACCCAGCTGCGCTTGGCCAGCGGGAGGTGAGGCATCAATATGTGATTAACTGGGATCAGAAGGGAGCATGGTGGGATTTGAGCACCTAGCTTAAAGTACTAGCCCAACCCAAAGCAATTGGTGTGACCTTGGACAAGACATCACCCCAGGGCTGTGCAGTTTCTCCATCAGTCAAATGAAGAGGTTAGATGAGAATATTTCTAATTTCCTTGAGCTGTGTAGCCTTGGACAAGTGACTTAATCTATCTGTGCCTCCATTTTCTCACCTGAAAAAAAAAAAAAAAAAAAAAGAATGCGGTAATTGTATCAATTTCATAGAATTTTGTGAAGATTAAATGACATAATCCATGATATGCATTTGCTAGAGTGCCTTGCACATGGCTAGAACTTTCTAAATATCTGCCATTAGTACTGCTGTTCGTCCCAGCTCTACATTTCCATGACTTGGTGACATTGGTTACACATTTAATGCTTTAGAGAGATTATTTGATTCCTCTAAATTTTTATTATGGGCATCAGATCTTCATCTAGTTCCACCATTTTACTCTTTGGGTACCAAGACATGTACCCAACACTGTCACGTACCACAGAAGCACACAGGGATTTCATTGCACCACACAGAAACCTAACCCTCCTCTGGGTTTCTCTGAGGCACATGTGCTTTTATACACATATATATATCAATTTACCAGTCAGTTGCTGTCATCTGGCTTCTGGCCTGTATGTAACTTCTGCTCTTACCTGTTCGGTGTTCACCTGCCCGACTTCCAGCGGCAGAACATAAATCTCTTTGCCCGAGGGCTTTCTCTGGCTGCTGGAGCCTGCTCTGACTGTTCCCACAGTGGGCTGCAAAGTGTGGGGGAGATGGAACACCAACTAGGGAACAGCCCTCGACAGATAATTAATGGGAGTGGAGATGTGAAGGTGGCAAAACTCTGAAGTGCGTTCTATGCAGTTTCTTAGCAGGAATAAGCCCCTTTTGCCCGCGGTGGTAACTGACTTGATAATGCACCCCTTTTTGGCTGCCTCCCCTCTTTGGATTTTCCACTCTGTTGGTGCTTCCTGACATTATCTCTCTGATGAGCTGCTTGCACTTAAATCCTTGCCTCGGGTTTTGTTTCTGGGGGAACTCCAAACAAAATACCTGCTATTCTTACTGTGAAGCCCATTGTCCCCATGGAGTAGAAAGAGTGACAGCAATGGCTTTGACAAAGTCTTTTTCCCTTAGAGATAAGACCCTGCCCCTGGTCTGGTCAGACATGCGGAGAAGATGCCCCAGTCATTATTCAAGTCTCTTCTTTTAGATGTAAGGTCAAGTTTTATGGAAATAAACCAACATCCTTTGGAATTAGAAGCTTAACCTGAATCAGACCTTTTGTTGAATATAGACCTTTGGTCTGGAAACTCAAGGGCAGCCCTCTGTGTAGTTGCAACAAAGCTTGTTTTATATGTTCTGTTGTGTACTAGTCATTGTAAGACACTTGTCAAACACACAGAGACCTTCATCCACAAGCAAGCGTGCAGAGTTTCAGGGCCACAGTTAAAACCAACAGTAAGTTATCAGGAAAGTCACTCCCAGGATAAAAAGGAATATAGTCAGAGAAATTGCTCCATTGAATGTCCTGGGCCAGACTCTATTGAGCTAATAAATCTAGGACAGTTATCCATACCACGTGCCAGGGCTCCAGAGTTTTACAAAGTTTAGCCTTGCTCTCCTCTACAAATACAAATATCTAAGTTAATAACTATGAGAACCATTTCATCCTGAAGCTCCTACAATGGTATTAAAAGTAAAATTCTAACATATGTCACAATTAAAGAACACCAAAGCCTGATGCATTCAAAGAAACAAAAATAAATCATTAAGTCTCACTGAGGAAATGGACCATATGTTACTGTATTTTTCTGTATCACAGAGATACAAGAAAGATTTTAGATCCATCACCCAGCCCGTTTTGACACATTTGCACTGTGGGAACTGTTTCCTTATTTGATTCTCCTAAGAGTTACTGAGGAGCACCTAGTAAGTGCCAGGCACTCTGCCAGGCTCTGGGTGTGCCAGGACTGTGCATCAGAGTAAACTAAAAACAAATATCAAGAAAACAATATAATAAAAATGGAGTTCTAACTTGTGACAAATGATATAAAAAACCTGAACCAGTTTAGGTATCAAGGTGTGGCATAGAGGAGATAATCTGAAAAAGTGACATTTAAGTTGAGGGCCTTTAAGGATTGAAAGAAGTCAACCATGTAACAAGCAAGGGAAAAGCATTTCGGGCAGAGGGAACAGCATGGGAAGTAAGGAGTTAGGAAAGAGCAGGGTGCGGTTAAGGATCTGGAAAGAGCCCGGTGTGTCCGGAGCAGAGAGGGTGAGGGAGCCATGCATGAGAGGGCGTTAGAGACAGAGGCGGAGGCCAGGAAAAGTAGATTCTGATAGCTCAGGGGAAAAGGAGTCTGGGATTTTCTTCTAAATGTGATGACCGCACGCTAAAGCTGTGCTCTTCAATACAGCAGCCACTCGCTATATGTGACTATTTTTTACTGATGTTTGTATACGTAATCATACAGGTTTCACATGTACAACTCAACAAAACATCATCCGCACACTGCATCGTGCTCCCATCGCCCAAAATGAAGTATCTTTCCATCTCCACTTACCCCCATTGCCTTCTTTAAATTTTAATTTTAATTAATTAAAATGGTAATTCCCCAGTCACACTAGCCACATTTCAAATACTCAGTAGCCTCATGTAGCTTCATTATTGGCTGGTGCAGATATAGATTGTTTCCACCACTGCAGAAAGTTCTACTGGCCAGGGCTGCAAAGGAGTCTAGGCAAGAGGATGACATGATTGGTTTTAATTTTTTAAAAGATTACTTTGGCTACTGTGTAGATCATCCATGATAGGGAGACAAGAGAGTGAGGCAGGGAGATCTGTTGGAAGCTAATACTATAGGCAGGACAAGATGCAATAATGACTTGGACTAAACAAAGTGATAAGACAGATGGAGAGAAGTGGGGAGGTACAAAATATATTTTGCAGATAGTAGCTACAAGATTTGTTGGGGGACTCTATATGAGGGGGAAAGGGAGGTAGGGAAAGAATGACTTAAGACTAGACGGATAATTGTTGGTTTCCCTTCCTGACTGAGGAAGTCTCATTTCAGGGAGGTCCAGTTTGTGGTGAAGGTTTGAGAATTGAGCTTGGGGGCTTGGCACCCCGAGGATTTACCTGGAGCTATAAACAATGGGAGGGCATTTGAAGTCAAGAGAATGGATGAGTACACTTAAGGAGAGAAGATAGAACAGATAATAGAAGGGGCTTCAACGCTGAAGAACCTCAATATGTAGAGTCAGAGAGAGAAAGAGATGTTGTCTTTCGAATTCCTTCCTGTGAGAGTTATGTTTCTGCAGACACAGGGTAGGTTCTTGATTAACTTGGAGTAATTCCTAGGTAACCTTTATGAACATGCTTAGTTGGAGGTGGCCAAAAGGAAGCTTGCAAGAACAAATAGGAGAGCCCCTCCAAGACCCTCCTAGGGGAGAGCTGTGCGACTAATAGGCCAGGCTTTGGGGTGAAACTGGCCTGTGAATCCCAGCTCTTCCAGGTACCACCTGTGTGACTCAGCCTCCTCTCCGAGGCTCATCTTTCCTCTAGAAAAGTGAGTTGTAGGAGAGTTCAGTGGTTGTGGGTATAAAGTAAATAGCCACAGCTACATGACAGTTTCATGCCAAGACATATGCAGCATATTTAGACCTGGCTCCCTCAGCACTCCCTTCCCACCCAACAGGCACAAAAGCCCCAAGGACCCGTAGGTTCTGATTTTGCTTCCTTGGCGCCCTGGTCTGGCTGAGCCAACCCATCCTCCACTGTTGGTCCATCTTACCCTGAGGGAAATGAGTAGATTTTTCATGGATGATCATTATAATTCTTCATGGAACTTGGAATCTAACTCAGTCAGAGTTTGTTATGTCCTGCTTGATTAAAAAATCAAGGTTAATAGCAATTATTGAAAATGACCCAAAAAACCCAGCAGATTTATTTTTAGAATTTTTTCTTTCCAATTGTTAGGTAAATCCCTAAACTACTTGTTTATACTGTAACATTAAAGGAAGCTTTGGGGAAAAGGCAATTTCAGTTTTGATGGGTTTGGGGATGGACTTGGGATGTTTTTTCTGAAAAATACTAAATCTACTTTGAGACAGAATGGAATTCTCAATTATCAAGCGATACCCACGTGAAGAATGAATTAGAAGAAAACCTAAGAGAGGAAAGAAAAACAATATCATGATGGTGGAAAGATTAGGCCTTTTAAAAAATGGGGCTGGAGATCTACTGATTTCAGATTCAGCTTTGACTCTTTTCTCTCCTTCCTTCCTTCCTTCCTTCCTTCCTTCCTTCCTTCCTTCCTTCCTTCCTTCCT